TTTTTTGAATGTATGTCAAATTTATAATTGGAATTGTGACCACTGAGGAAGGCCCTTTGAGGGGCCGAAACGCGTTTGGTTCAGTTGCATAGCACTAACCCATCTATGTATGAATGTTGAGAAGTTTTTTTATGTCTGAATGGTATATTTTTAATGAGTCTAAGTTTTAAAATGTGTACACCTGAATAAATTTTGCATTTTTATAATATTTACAGTCAGCTTAACCCTTGTGGATCCATAGCAACTTTTTGGGTTGAGTTTTCTCCCCCCCCCACCCCCCGCCTTTTTCCTTCCCCCTTCCCTTCCTTTTTGTTAGCACCAGAGAATTGATCCAAACGGGGATTACACTATAACTAGTATTATTTTATTGTTTCTCCTGGCTCTCAGCTCATTGGCAGGCTTCCTGGGAGTTTTGTCCTTTGGAGGCAGTGATCATCTCCCTATTGTATTGCATATGAACATGCCTTATGTTCAGCTCTCTATAATCAGGCAAGATGTTATATCCCAGAATCAAAACTCCATACGTCAGATCCGCTGGAATGACAATACTGTTCGCCTTGCCCGAGATACGATGGCCTTCCCAGAAGTGGTATCTTTAAGGAAATCGTTATTTGGGTCTGATGTAGCTAGGAGCTGTCTCACTATCCTGTATAAGCTTTTCTCTCTCTTCCGGCCCTTGTACTATAAAATTACTCCCAATAGTGCTCCTTTTGTGGGGCCCTGGCCCCCAAGAATTGTGATACATGGCCTGACAAAGAATGCAGGCTTATTGAAAGAGAACTACAACGGAAACATAAGAGCATTGTTCTGAGGGAATTCTTGACTTTTAAGACATTTTTAAGAGCTCTCTTGGCCCCACCTACCTCACCAGGTGTCTATTGTGGGGAGGGGAAGGCAAAGGAGTTTGTAAGCCGCTCTGAGACTCCGAGTGAATGGCAAGGGTATAAATCCAATCTCTCCTCCTTTTGAACTGGGTTTTCTTTTTTTTCTTTTTAAGTACCCGAAGGGACACTTTTATTATTTTCTTATGCTCCTAAACACAGACATAAACAACTACAACAAACAATATATATGTCAAGAGACTTGTTACATTTTGTTATTACACCTAATTCATCGCTTCATTATTCTCTCATATTTGTTATAATATTCTCTAGTTCCATTATATTATATTACTACATACTCAAATAATATTTTTGCCATGTCAGCTTAATCTTTTAACTCCGTTCACATTATACCGGTCATACAATCTCTTCCAAGTTTTTTGAAATGTCCATTTCTTCGTACCGCTCATTTCCATAGTTAATTTATCTATTTCCGCTGCTTCTAAAAGTTTATTGATATACTCCTGTTTGGTTGGTGTTTCTTGAGTCTTCCAATATTTGGCATACAATATCCTTGCCGCCGTTGACATATATACAATTAGATATCTATCAGTATCTTCAAATTCTTTCGGAAATATATTTAACAAGAGCACCTCTGGAGTAAAGGGGATGTTACGTCTTGTTATTTTTTCCATTATGAACTGAGTTTTCATGCAGCATTTGCTTTGGGGGGAAATTGTGTAAAATTAAATTGACCACCAGAGCTCTGCCTTTAGGGCACACTGCAGTGTTCTGGTATTCCCCCCCCCCTCCAGTCGTTTCCCTCCTACACCTATCTGTTGACTTCCCAAAGCCTATTAAGGGTGTTATTCTGGCCAGACTAAATGCTCTCTCCTGGGTAGTTAAGAGGGGCAGGTTCATACGTTTACCTTATTCAGAACAAATCTGCCCCTGTCCCTTATGTAAGTTTGACATGATTGCACATAATCTTCTGGAGGGTCCTTTGTATGCTAATCTCAGGAGGCGTTGTATTTCACGGTACTTACGAGCTCTTTCTGATGTATACTCCTATGACATAATTCCAGGGCTTTTTTTGTAGAAAAAGCCCAGCAGGAACTCATTAGCATAACAGGCCATACCCCACAGCAGGAACTCAGTAGCATATTAGGCCACACCCCTGACAGCACAGTTTATTAGCATATTAGGCCACACCCCCATGTTATCAGAAGTGTGGTCATCCAGCCACACCCACCTTTTGCTTCTTATTCTGTTGACCTTGTTTGTTGCCAAAACCCAGGGCCTTTTTTGGAGCAGGAACTCCTTTGCATGTTAGGCCACACACCCCTAATGTAGCCAATCCTAATGAGTTTCTGCTGTTGGGTGTGGCCTATTATGCTAATGAGTTCCTGCCAGGCGTGGCCAACTTGGGAGCCAGCCAGAACTCCGTTCCTGTACGTTCCTGCCCAAAAATAGCCCTGCATAATTCCATAGCTGTTACTGCTCAATGTTTATGTATCATAGATCGGATAAAAGGAAAGGAAAAGGGTTTTTTAAAAAGGAATTTAATGGATGCTCTCAGCAGGGAGAACTTCATGTTTGTATCTCTCCATTAAGAGAAGCCATTCACTGAACTTTCCTGTTCACTCTCTTTTCTTTAAACACTGTAGGCTATTTACAGGTGGAGTTTGAAAAATTAATAGAGGCCCAAATTAATCATGGATCTCCCAAGTGGTTTTATTGGTAAATATTGTGGGGATTTGGATTGGAACCAGAGAAAGAGCAGCTTAATTTTTACCCCTGGCACCATTTTTCTGACCTGAAATAGATCCATAGAAATATTCTTTAACTTACTGAGAAGCATGCATAGGGCTTTTCAGACAGTAACGGGAATGCGCACTAGACATGATATATATGTGGTCACCATTGTGTGTGAAGTGCATAGTTACTGCAGGAAAACAACTCTGATACATGCTGAACTGGACTCCTGGAGATTTTTCTTTCTAACAGAAGGTTAACTCAGAATGAAAAGCTCAAAATGAAGTTAGCCGTCCCCTCCTGATGCCTCTCTGAATCCTTGGAAGCACACTAATTCTGAACCCATGGCCATCACTTTAAATGGCGGGATTTCCTGCCACTGGATGTGGTGAATCGATTGCTTTAAAAGTGGTTTTGGAAAAATCTATGGAGGAGAGGGCCGTCAGTGGCCAGACAATGATTGAAGGGGAATCTCCTCATCCAGAGAAAGTAAACTTCTGAGTCCCAGTGCTGGAAGGCAACCACATGAGGAGGCCTTGGCCTCTGTGCCTTGCTTGCTGGCCCTTCGGGGCAATTGGTGTGCAACAGGGTGCTGGACTAGATGGACCACAGGTCTGATCCAGCAGGGCGCACCTCTTATTTTCCTAAGCACAATGATAGGTGTTGACAGGGCTATTTTTGGGCAGGAACGCACAGGAACGGAGTTCCGGCTGACTCCCAAGTTGGCCACGCCCA